CCCCCCCCCCCCCCCCCCCCCCCACACACACACACACGTATCAATGTGTCTGTGTGTGTGGGTGTGTGGGTGGGTGTGTGTGTGGGTGTGTCAGGATCTGCCGTGGACGATGATCAAGCTGGCCGGCATCGCCCGGAGTACCCACCGGCAGGCTGACGTGGCTGTGCGGCAGCTGTACAGGCTCCCCGTGGTGCCGCATCTGGACTCAGACGCCTTCCACGTCGAGAACTTCCTCGGACTGGTGAGTGCGGGGCGGTGGTCGATCGCATCCCACACACACTCGACTTGACTTAATGCCGCTACATCCACACCACACACACCCCTGGTGCGGTCGGTGCATACCTATACCTGTTTGTTGTGTGGGCGCCTTAGCAGGCGCAAAAGGTCAAGCTGTGCCTGATGGACGAGCCCGGCGAGTCGCTCAACCAGACCATCGACTCGCTCAAAGCAGGTGAATTGGGTTTAGGGTTTGGGGTTTAGGGTTTGGGGTTCAGGGTTTAGGGCTTAGGGTTTGGCTTAACCCTAAACCCTAAACCCTACTGGACACGCAGACACACGCGCATGCACACGGGACTATGGTGGATTCATTGGTGCTGTGTTGGATGTTGTGTGTTGTGTGTCCGGCAGGCATCAACTTGATCAACTCCTTCAACTTCGACCAGGCCGAGTTCTCGCGGGAGATGTACGACTGCTACAAGGCACAGCTCTTCAAACTCAGAGCTAACATACAGCTCAAGTGGTCAGCCAGCACAGCAATCCCCCTCCCCCTCCCCCTCCCCTCCCCAACACACACACCCTGCCCTGCCCTGCTCTCCCCCACCCGCTAAATTAAATCAATCAGGGCCAACAAGCTCCGCGAGAGCCGGGAGAAGACCGCTGCAGCGACCCCCCAGAACAGCCCAAAGGACGACAGCAAGGGCGCCCCCAACGGCCCCTACCGCGCCAGCAGCGCCCAGTTCGACCCCAACGCGCCGCCGGCGACGAGCGAGCCGCACCCTGACGAGGGCCCTTCGGAGGAGGTGCTGCTGCGGGATGCTGACGAAGACTACAACGTGGCGATGCGGATCAACCCCGTGTATGGGCAGGGGTGGCTGGCGTGGGGCCGGTTCGCGGACAGCATGTTCGAGCGGGGGGACATGCGGGACCTCAACTATGCCATCAATGCCATCACCTGCTACATGATGGGCATCGTCATTCGGTGAGCGGGCCGTGCCGGGTGGGGTGTGGTGGCTGTTGCTGTGCTGGAGGGAGGGAAGGGTGTGAGCTGGATGGATGGATGGATGGCATGGGTCTGTGTGTGTGCAGTCAGGAGAAGATGCGTCTGTACATGCCGCGTGTGCTGTGGCTGCTGACGTACGACGACGAGCAGCACCACTCGCCCATCTCTAGCGCCTTCGAGAAGCACGTCCAGTTCATCCCCCACCACCTCTGGCTACCATTCACACCCAACCTCATCACAGGTGGGTACCCAACCTCACACACACACACACACCCCCACCACACCGACACACGGTCACGTGTCCACTCACATCCCTCCCTCTCTCACTGACTCATCTCATCAGGTCTGGAGCGTCACGAGGCGCCTGCCATGAAGTCCATCCTGTGTCGCATCATGCCCCAGTACGCCCAGGCCATCTTCTGCCAGCTCCGCACATCCGTCGCTGAAAAGAAGAACTCCCCCCTCCAGCCCATCTGCAACCTGCTGCAGCAGAAGCAGCTATACGCACAGGCGCCAGACGGACCCTCGGCAGCAGCTGCAGCGGGCACGGCCGGGACCAACGGGCGGGGTGATACCGGGGGCGGCACGAAGCATCAGTCGCTGGCGTATCTGGAGGACGTCACGACGCACTGCAAGAACAAGTGCGGCAGCACCATACAGCCCTTCAGCGACTTTGTGTCGAACGTGGAGAGCGTATTCAGGTGAAACAGACAGACAGGCGGAGAGGCAGACAGGGCAATCTGACACACACCACACGTACTTTTTTATTCTTCAGAGGTGACGTTGCCGAGGAGATGCTGTCGGTGATCGACAACATCCTCTCCAAGTTCTACGACCTGCCATGCGACGACGGCGACCCCTCGCAGCCGCCCCTCACCGCCCCCACCCTCATGGCGCAGGTGCAGAAAACTTTCTCACGCCTCATGATCAACGCCAGGCAGCAGAAGGACAAGGGCCAGCGGAGCAGCCTCAGCCAGCCCATCACCAGCGCCATAGTCGCCCTCTACAAAGACGACATCATCAAGGACTTCTTCGACCCACCGCCAGCGCCACCCCGGGGAAACAACGGTGATAACGAGTTCCTGAGTGACGGCCCCGCCCTGCAGATGCCCGTGGGCATTGCCATTGGCAAGCTCAAGAAGTGGAAGGACCTCCTGACGCGCCAGCTGCTGCTCACGAGGTGGCACGGCGTCAGCGACGACCTCTCGCCGTACTTCCAGCCGGCACACAACAAGCGCAGCGTCGAGATTCCCGGCATCTACTGGAAGCCTCTCTTCGCCCACATGTACAGCGGGGGCGGGGCCGACAGCGAGCACTTCCAGGGGCACACCTCGGGGGGCCACCTGGACCGCATGAGCCGGTACTGCCCCCTGGTGTTGCGCAACGGTGTGTGGGTGCGGCGTATGACGCTCATCAGCCAGCGGGGGGACTACCACTCCTTCATCCTGCAGACCTGCCATCTGCACCAGCAGGCCGGGGAAGTGCGGATGGTGCAGCTGCACCTGATGCTCAACACCCTGCTCAGCAAGTGCAAGGACACAAGACGCAGGGGCCTCTGCCTGTCCATACACACCACCGTGCCTATCAGCCCACGTCTGAGGCTCATCGAGGACCACCCCAGCGCTATCTCTTTCCAGGAGATATATGACGACTTCATCACCAACAGGCGGCCGACAACACCACAGCAGGACGATGGTGTGGAGGTTATGAGAGACCCCGAGTACCCCATTCTCCTGGCGCGGCGGCTGATGGCCAACGCGAGGCGGGCCAAGAGGGAGGAGAGCGAGAAGAGGAGGGCGGAGGCACCTGCTGCTGCGGCTGCCGCTGCATCAGCCCCTGCAACGGCCCCACCTGCTGCACCACAAGCTGATGACCCCGACACCCATCGTGGCGTGATGGAGCAGGTCTATGAGGTGATGGGGACCACCATCGGCCTGGACGAGTATCTGCTGCGCGACTACCTGCATCGCTCGGCGCTGACGGCCGACGCGTCCTTCCACCTGAGCAAGCGCTTCATCATCGAGTACGGCATCCTGGCCTTCCTCGCACACATGTTCAAAGCCGGCGGCATCACGCCGGCCAAGCTGCACGTGCTGAGGTCCACTGGGCAGGTGCAGCAGTACGACCTACGGCCGTCCCTGCAGCTCCCTGCCGATGACGCCAACCAGACACAGACACAGACAGCCGCAGCCGACCAGGCCGACCCCCAGACACACACCCCCCATCCACTTGCGAGCCCCCTCAATTTTCAGCTGCACTGCGAGGACCGGGTGCCCTTCCGGCTGACGCGCAATGTGCAGGCCTTGATGGGCCCACACGGCCTGCTGGGATTGTTCCCGGCCGTCCTCTTTTCGATGGGGGAGTGCCTGTTTGCCGCCGACACGTACGTGGTCTTCAAGAGCTACCTGGCGCTGATCCTGCGGGACGACTACTGGATCTACTGCCTGCACCACCGCAGCCAGCAGCTGACGACACTGGTGGACCAGCTCTACACCACCCACATGCAGCGCAAGCACAGCACTGCCACAGGAGCCACACACGGGCTGGACAAGGAGGTCACAAGCCAGGCGGAGAGGGAGGCCCACGCCCAGGCTATCCAGCACATGACGGTGCCGGCACCCAGAGGGCTCGCCGAAAGAGTCATGCGCATTGTCGACGACATCTACAGCCAAGTCAGACTCACAGTCACCGGCAGCAACCCCAACACAATTGCGGTACGCACACACAGTGTCACATAGAGGGGGGCGGGGCACTGATTGGGAACGATATCTACGTCTCCCTCTGTGTGTATGTGTATGTTGGTCGATCAGGGTGGCGTTGACGATGACGCGTGTATCGACCAGCGCGTGATGGACCTCATCCGGCGGGCATCGACGCACGCCAACCTGATGCAGCAGCCGCCCAAGTGGCACCCATGGCTATGAAGGATCAATGAATGAAGGCTGGCTGGCTGTGTCTGCGTACCTTAGAGGGCAAACTGTGTGTGTAGAGATCTATCCAGCGATTTGCTGTCTGTCTGTCTGTCTGTGTGTGTCCCTTCCTCCCTCCCTCTCTCCCTCCCCCTCTGCTGCTATGCAATGTGTGTGTGTGCCTACGAGTCGTCAGTTTTTTTCATGTACATGACGCCATCCGTGCCTGAGTGAGTCCCTGAGTGAGTGTGTCAGTTCAATAGCCGTCTGACAAACAGCCAGCACGTCACATATGGATGGCAGACGTGGGCGTTTATTGTGTGCATGTGGCGCCCCCTACCTATGTGTTTTATCCGTCAATCATTGTACTCCCGTGTGTGCACACGCTGCGCACCCCTGCGCACGGCCATGTGTGCAGATCTGCCTACAGGTGCGTGTGCTGCGTGCTGCTGCACACAAACACACACGAAACATGCAAACACTACGCACAACTGGCGTCCAAGTGAGCACGTCGGGCACCGCTTCATGCACTTGCAATTGCATGTGTAGTACACACACTCCAAGTCCAATCGTGCATGTGCGCACAGACACATTCAGGACATAAACACATGAATATATATCCAAGTCCGAAGGTTCACTCCAAGTCCAAAGGTGCATGCGCGGGTGTACGCACCATTCAGATATTCACCACAAACACACACTCCAAGCCGACGCGTGAGGCAGCAGACAGTAATGACTGAGTTGTCAGGATGCGAACACATATACATGTGGTCTGCTTTGGCCTCTTCTCTGCTGCTCATTTGGGTGGGCTGGCGTGAAAAACGGTGCCGACCACAATGGCCAGAAAGCCCACGAGGGCTGAACAGAGAGCACGCACACAAGGGCAAACTGATGTCGAGCCAATGCGTGCCCCGTCAGGGTCGTGTCTCACTCACTCACCGAGGAAGAATGAATGACCCACGGGGCAGACCTGGGAGAGTGGGAGAGTGAGGAGAGTGAGGAGTGGAAGCAGCGGCATGCGTCTCACCTTCTTTTCGATACTCCATTCGTAACTCGAATCCTGATATTGTCTGGCAGTGCACGACAGCTGGTCGTCTTCTGTGCCTCCAGCAGTCATCGTCTCCCACACAATCAGGCCTGATTGCGATACGATGACATAAAGGCATGAAACCCTGTTTCGTTGTTTGTTTGTTTGTTTGTTTCGCAAACGTACCGATGGAAATCATCAGAAGACTGACGATCCAGCAAATAAGACCAATCCACCAGAGAGGCTTCCTTCTGTCTACGTGCGTGTCGACACTAGCACAACCATAGCTGATCAAGTGCGAAGAATTAGGGAGAACAGAAAGGTCCAAAATGAGAAGCTCCAGCACTGCATCAGCATTTCGAACCTCATGAGTATGCCGATCCCCGAAAAGGCCACGCCAATCGATGCGAGACAGATCATGACTAGACCAGCGGATTGTAGCGTGCCAAGTATCTCGTATTGGTTCTGTTCCAGCACACGCGCGGGTGGAGTGAGAACCCTTTAATTTTTGGACGACTTACACATCTTTCGGACTTCGGTTTGACGTCTTTCTTGCAGACTTCAATCCTTCCACCCTGATCCAAGTCCGCCAGTTCCGAGCTGTATTCCGTTCGGCGCACAAATGCAATGACCTTCTCTAGTTTCCATTCATTGTAGACTGGTACCTGCACGAGCAGGATTTATATTTCCCAAGGACGACACTATACTTGTCGCCGCAGGTTTCGCGCTTTATGCCGGCCTTCTCGCATGCTTGCCTCAAAGACAGCATAAGATACTGCATATGATACTGCATATGCCTTTCTTCGATTGTCTCATGCATGGATCTTACTGGTGTTTCAAGCCTCCACTCGGTGCTTGAGGCCTGCAATCATTTATCCATCAAATCGACGCCAGCGCCTTGTGAGCCCTTCAAATTGATATGCAGCTTTTGTTCAATGAGTCACCGAACAGTTCCGCCTTTTTGCACTTTAGGGTTTGAGATCCAGGCCGAACTGCCAGGAGACAGAAGAAGTTGTAAAGAGCAGCTATGGGTCCGCTGTCTTACGTGTGTCTTCATAGGTGTTCTCACGCCATCCGTCCGTGACGAGACCTGAGAATGAACCGAGTGAGAAGAAGCAAGCCACTTTTCACAAGAGGACGTTGCCTCCTTGCCTGTTCTGTGCTTGCCTGCGATGATGAGAGCTATGCCGCACAATCCAAAAAAAACAGCCGCATGCGCAGAGCAGGTCTTCTGGCGTTGCCTTTGGGACTCGAAAGAGTACCACAACCATGCTCTCGTCAGAAACGCTTGCAAGTTCACACAGACGCTACAGCAACGATACTTTGCCAAAGCCACAGGCACATTGTCATATCCATGGCTGCAGGCGACCATCCATGGCGTCATCCCCTGTATGAAGTAAATGCCATGTGCGCTGTTGATGCATGTCTTTTTGTTACTGGTAAAATCATGCGTACCTGCTTATCTTTGATGGAGAGGAGATTTTGGATTTGTTTTTGTTGTTCAGCGCAGCGCAGAAGACGCAGGAGACGATCGGAATTGGAATCGTGCTGGAAATTTGCTTTTTGTACAGCAAGATGAAGCACTGTTTCGCCCTGTGTGCAACGTGCAAAGGGTAGAATGTAGAATGCAGCTGTTTTGCTTACCTTGTTGTTTTGTGTAAGGAGGACTTTCTGAAGGATATCAGGACTTTTGATGTTCAACAGCTTGTTCATGGCTTGAAATCCTCTGTTTCCGATTGCCGTGTGGAGAGGCGTGTTTCCCTTATACAAGAGAAACAACATGCCGCGAGTGTCCGTCGAGGCTGATTGATGACACTCACTTGATAGTCCGTGAGCAAGGAAAGAGAAGCGTCTTTCATCAGTAGCAGCTCTGTCAAAACACCTCCGTCGTCTCGATTGGCAAGCCCGTGGAGAGGAGTTTGTTCATCATCTTTCTGCGTGCAAAGAAATGAACGGTCTACCCGTATGCCTCTGGCACATAGTCATCCTAGTACCGCCTGCTTGCGAAGCAATTCGAATGCTCGATTGCCTCCCCACTCCAGCAGCTGTCGAACGGCCTCAGAGAAGTACTTATTGTTTCGCCCATTGACGACGTCATGGATGATTGTCATGCCGTTCTACAAGGACGAAAGCAAATGTCTCCTTCTCTCCATTCTTGATCAGTACTTACCTGGTCTGTTTGGTTTAGTAGTGCAGTCACCAGCGTCTGGCACCCTTTGGCGTACAGAGCATTCATTATGTCAAGTGAACCCTCACGCACCGCCATACGAAACGACACCACACGGGGGGTAGCCCCGAAGGCCAACAAACGCTTGACGGTATCGCTGCGCCCCTCCTGAACAGCCAGATGAAGAAGCTGCGACTGTGGCCCGCGTGTCTGTATACAAGCATATAGCCCAAAAGAGCAAGTGCTTTGATGGGTGCTTGATCTCTTCTTTAAAGCTATTTACCGGGTCCTCACCCAGAAGCTGCCGAAACGAAGCTTTGTCGGTCATTACGCGTATCACATTCTTTCGATCGTGCACGGTAGCCAAATAGAATGGTGTACGACAATTCTGTCATGGACAATAATCGGTCAACGAAAGTCTCGTAGAGCAGGCTGGTGTGTGTGTACCCGATTCTCAGAGTGGAGCAGCTCCTCGCCTCCCCAATCTAGCAGCCGCTTAACCATCGGTGTGTGATTTCGATGAGCAGCAAAATGCATCGCCGTGTCTCCATTCTGCAACACACATGACAGATCATTTGGATATAGCCGGATAACACGCTTCGCTAACTTTGTTCTTATAGAGTTGCTGGTGGCCTCCTGTTTTGTAAAGCACCTCAAGCATGTCCACGCCCCAATGCCTGGCAGCTAGGAGAAACCCCGTGTTGCCCTCCTGCATGCATCCATATGGACATGCGATCCATGTGTTGGCTAGTTCCAGCGTCGCTGTAAGGTTCGGTCAGAAGATCACCTCGTCTCTGCCTTTCAGCTGCTCTTGGACGATCCCGCCTGCTTTCTCACACATCAGCTTGACAATGGAGACGTGACCTTTTTGCACCGCTAAGAGGACGGGCGAAGTTTCGTAGTCCCATGGTTGTACGCCAGCGGCACCCGGAAACATAATTGCGTCAGTCTTCGAGATGTTCGTCTGGGTCTGAACTCGGTGCTGAATCAACAAATCCTTCTTCATCTCGGCCTCTTGCTCTCGTGCACGAATGGACAACTGCCACTCCCAGAGCACTCGAGGGCCGTGAGAGTCCAACAGCTGGGATACTGTCCCCAAATTGCCATCCCTGGTGGCCCAGTAGAGGCTCTGCATGGAAAGGCGACCATGAAGGCGACGGACAGAAGGCAATCGTCTTGTCATGCTGACACTCACCATGGCACGACGCATCATTTCCTGAGCGCTCATTTTTGCAGGGGGCCTTGGGGGGAGTCTCTTGGTTGGTTACTGTAGTGTGTTTATGAGCGCTCCCCAAAGTGTTCCTCCGTAATTGGGGCCAAGGTAGCACTCCCTTCGGTTCTGCGGGGGCATGGTGTGTAGATCTATCCAGTGCACTGCCGCCCGTCTGTCTGTCTGTCTGTCTGTCTGTGTCCCCCCTCCCTCCCTCCCTCCCTCCCTCTCTGCTGCTGTCCAATGCGTGCGCCTGCCAATTGTCAGTTTTTTTGATGTACGATGCCATCCATGCATGCCAGAGTGAACGAATGCATTAGCACGACAGATGGACGACAGACGTGGGCGTTTTATTGTGTGCATTGATTGCATGTGGCGCCCCCTGGCTACCTACATACCCTACCTGTGTTTTATCCGTCAATCATGCTCCCAATAGACTCCTCCCCTGTACCCCATACACTCACCCCTGGGTACTACATGTACGTTAACGCACACGTCCACGATTGATTACCCACCAATGCATTCCACCACCTCACTGCGTCCACAATCCTCTCTTTACTTACGCACACCATCGTTTGGTCCATCCATCCAGCGAAGTCTGGCCAAGCCATGGAGACATAGGGAACCCACGACACAGACATCGGAATATAAAATGTAAGCAGCGATTGCTGGCTGCACAGGCAAGCCGCCTCCACTTCGAGTGCCCCACGAGTGCCGCCATGGCGACCGTCAGCACCTCTTGTCCTTCGTGTATCGGTCGATGTACGCTTCGATGTCGATCATGAGGTCGTCGTGCGCCTTGGTCGCATCCGCCAGCCCCTGCTTCTGGAACTGCAGCCTCTTGTCCTTGCCGGCGCAGCCCGTTGCAGCCTGTTTCTGCTCCCCCCGGAACTCGGTCAGTCGGCTGCAGAGCGTGCCATTGTTGCCGTCCCACTCGAACCGAGCCCATCCATGAAGGTCTTGGACAATGCCGGGTGCCCCGCGAGTGCCGCCATGGCGACCGTCAGCACCACCCCGTAGATATCCGTGTACTGGCTGTGGCTGCTGTCTCCTGACAGGCGGACTCCTTGAGGTCACATGTGATGGGGACGAATGGCACCGGCGAGCACATCTCCTCGTCGAAGATGGGAAATTGGTGCCGCCGCAGCTCTCTCGTCGTCTCATAGTCGATGTGCACCACATCGGCGGCCTCCTTGCTCCCCACCAGCAAGAGGTTGCCTCCGTGTGGGGTCACCATGAATGGAAGGCAGGTTCGTCCACAGGCCCACGTCCATGCTGCCCTCCTCGTGATAGTCCCTTAGCTCGGGCGAAGACGGGCCAGGCCTCGGGTAGCCCTCTGGGGCGTGTGATGGGAGGGGGTGGAGGATCTTGGGGCTCCCGAAGTGCCGCAGGGTGTCAAGTGCCTTGACCAGGCCCTTGTGAATGATGTGGCGCGACGTGGCGGCGACGGACTTGAGGGGACCGGTGCTGAGCGGCTGGCCGAAATCTTGTTGAAACGGCTTCAGAGCGGTGTGGGAAGTGAGCCTGTGGGCGACCTGGTGGCTGGCAGCGGCGCGTAGCAGGGTGACCTGAGTGAGGTTGAGTGCGTCGTGGCCCTCGAACTCTCCAAACACTCACATAGAGAGACACCGACATTATTTGGAGGTTTGGCATTGCCTCGTGTTTGGTGTGAGTGTCGACTTACTCATGACTTCAACAGAGTAGTACGGCCCGCTGAGCCTCATCGTCACGGTGCCGGTGCCTCCCATAGCGCCTCGCCTGTTGGCCACATCAGGGGCAGGGAGCTCAAGTACGAAGGGGCGGCTTGCTGGCCAGAACCCTCCTTAGACACGAGAGGTGGCGCCTTGAGCTGCCCCTCCAGCCGATGAAGAAGCTGCCCTTCGTCCTCAATGCCACGCAGTGCGGCCTCGTTCAACTCCTCCTGGTCCGCCGGATCAGCGCATAGTGCCCCCATCTGCCTCAGCAGTGCCCTGGGTGCCCGAAACTTGACGATGCACTCCCTCCCCTGCACCTCAGCAGCTATGCTGATGGTGCGGTTGTTGAAGTAGTAGCTGCTGCCGAAGGAGTGCATCTCGAGCGGCACGGCCTTGCTGCTGAAGGGGGCGACGGTGGGGTCGATGGTCGATGTGGCGGGGTGGGGTAGGAGGGGTCCGCTTGATGGCGATGGCTGTGGTGATGGCTGCGGCGATGCATCCTCTTCCGACGGGATGGAATCGCCGTCGGCAGGTGACGCGGCGCTCGTCGACGGCGACGAGCCGCTGGCTCTCTCCCTCTGCCCTCCGTCCCTACCTCGTCTAGCCACCTGGGTGCCACCGCTCTCCTCGGCAGAGGAAGTGGCGGCAACGTCAACCGCTGCTGGCTGCTGTTCTTTCGGATCTGGCAACTCGGGCGGCACCACTGGCTTGGGCTCGGCCGCAGTGGCCTCCTGGGCGGCTGGGGGCGTGGGAGTGAGTGAGGGCGCCTTCACGACAGGCTTCTTCTCCTCCTCCTCGTCTGCTGGTGGTAGTGGTGGTGGTGGTGGTGGCGACTCCTTGAGAGTGTTGTCAGCTGACGGTGGCTCCCCAGACATGACAGAGGCCACCTCTACGTCCTCTACAGAGATCACGGATAGGTCCGCTATGAGCTGCACGTCAGCCACAGGAGTCGTCTTGGCCTCCTTGGGCTCCTTGACCTCCTTGACCTCCTCGACAGCGGGAATAGTTGGTGGAGGCTCATGCCGCCTGGTGGGTGAAGCGACGGGCAGCACAGCTCCCTCGAGCGTCAGGGGGGCCGCACATGCAGATGCAGCTCTGGCCTGCACCTGCGCACCATCGGCAGACGGCTGGGCTGCCGGTGCTTCCGTGGCCTCTCTTCGCTGTGGCAGCCGAGGGCGGGGAGGGGCAGGCACCCAAAAAGGGGTGCGACGGACGGTCGGTGCGGCCTCAACAGCAGTGCAACGACGTGAGGCCGGTGCGGCCTCAGCAGCAGCAGTGCTTGGTATCAATGGCCTCCGATCACTGAGGCCGTCCGCCCATGTTTGCGATGAACTCGATGAATGGCTGCTCCAGCTCCCGCCAAGAGGCGAACACCCGCGTCCTTCACCAAGGGCGCCTGAAACAGATACACACAGGAGAGATTCCATCCATCCACAGCGCACCCATTCCCCCCTCCCCCTCCCGGGCATGTGTGTGCTGCATATACGTACGTCCTTGCTTCCGCGGCACACCTGACACCTTCTTGACCACATCCTTGCCCTCCTTCTTCGCCTCCTCCACGGCACCACTGAGCCGCCCCATCGCCCGCCGTGCCTCGCTCGCGAATTCGCAACGAGGCCTGCAGGCATCGCGAGCAAACGTCTTCCTTCCCGTCACTGGCGCACGGGAGGGAAAGGCGTTCCCGGGCAGCGAAAGGCGGAAATGAATTTCGAAAAGAGAATTAATTCTGTCTCGTCTCTGGAATATTATTCTCGCCTGATGGCTGCGGGTTGATTACAGCATAAGCAGCCAATTTCAATTGCAAGAGGCGGGCCATCTGAGTCATGCATGCGGCACGCAACGAAGATTCTCTGCAGACTTGCACACAACCCATCTCTGCCCACCGGTACCTCTGTCTGTCATCTGTCTGTCTGTCTGTTCTTTTCAAGAATACGTACGGCCACGATGGGCGTTGGTTCGGCTGTACAAAGCCCATGCATTCATGCGATAAAAAAGACACGGACACCGGCCTGTCTGCCTTTCTCTCCTCACTCCTCCTCTGTCTTCATGACTGTGTCTGCCTCGTTGGTGTGTGTCTCTTTCTTGACCTTCTGCTTGGCCTGACTTGGGCGCAACACAACACACAGTGACTGTGGCCCACCGCTCTCTGCCCCTGTTCTTTGGCGACTCTGAATCGCCTCTGAGCCCCCTCTCTCACATTGTCGACCAGCGAAAAGCGGGAACCGTACAAGTAAGGCAGCGCCAGCACGACACACGACAGAGAGGGGCAGCTGTCGAAGGCCTCAGCGACACAGTCGGCGAACGATTGGCACATGTCCTTGGCAGCAGCGCAGGACAGGCCGGTCTGCCCGCGGCTGTGGCGCAGAGACACACGCAGCTCAATTTCGAGGCGAGACACACGACGCTCCATGACCTGTCTGCCTGCATCCCCCTCCCCGCTGTACACACGCCAATTCAGAGACAATTCGTCAGCTGGCGCTGTGTTGGCCGGGCCACCATACAGGTAGCGGTCAACGTCAGCGTCGATCGACGATTTGACCGTCAGATTGTTGCCTTGACTCGACAGAAAACTCAGACCGGCAGGCACCAGACACAGCTCAGCACTCGGGTCGGGCTTCACACGCACCTCAAACGACACCTTCTCGAGCGATGGCAGCGACCCCATGCAGACGCCCGCCCCTCCCGCATACACGCGCATACCCGCATCTCGCTCATAGACACCCAGCGACACCACACTGGGGAAGAGGCAGTGGGCATTGGACGTGATGTAGGACGGGATGGGCTGCGTGACACGGGGCGGCGCTTGAGCATGGTGGGCGAGGTAGTGTGGATACGCTGGCTGCGGGGGCTGCTGGTCACGGTAGCTGCATTGGATGGTCAGCTTTCGGGCCCGTTCGCACACCAGGGGGCTGAGGGCGGCCGTCCCCGTCCCGTCCTCTGCATGCGACATGAGCGTCACGCTGTCGGCTTTGGCGCAGCACAGCTGCACGGTGGGGAGGCAGGTGGCGAGGGGGGCGGCGTCGCCTTTGAAGGGCAGCCACAGGTGGATGGTCGGGCTGTACGTCTCGATCGCGTCAGGTGCGAGGCAGGCAGCTCGGAACCGATGAATTCTCTAGATGGCAGCCAACACAGAAATCGACCGCTGGTGAGTCGATGTCTTCTCATGCTCACCTGGATACTTTTGGGTGTCGGCATGTTGGGGAAGCGCATCTCAATCTTCTGCAGCTTGGCTCCCTGGGGGGCTGAGATGAGGTCACTGAGCTCATCCTCGGGGGCCTTGCCGCCGCCGAGGCCGTAGGGGTACCAAGGGTGGTGCGCGTACGGGTTGTGGTCCTGGTCGTTGCCCGAGAATTTGAAGCCGGAGAGGGACGTGAGAGTCTTGGCTGTCGCCACATGGAGGCACACAACGGGTGCTGTCTCGATGGCAATATCCCCTGCCGCAAGCTTCTCACCAGTTGGCGTGTCCCTGATGGCAGCAGCGACGTCTCTGAGCGACTGATGCACCACAGCATGACACACCGGACACACAGCATGATTAGTCTGGAGTGTGCGACGACGTGCTGCCTGTCCGTGCGCCTTACTTGAACGTAGGTAGAGTGGATGGATGTCAGGCCGTCACATGCGCTGTCAATCCACGGCACCACCTGCATGAACACCCACCAACACACGTGTCGTGTGCCGCATCCATTTCCGTGTGTGCGAGGGCTGACCGCGTGATGCCGAGAGTATCCCCCATGGCGACTGAATGTGTCACCACTCAGGTGCTTGAGGGCTGGGAGTTTGAAGTTGCGATCTCGTGCGACGCCACCCCACGCCCCCTGGACGGCTGCCTTGTGGAGTTGCGGGAAGACGATCTGCTCCTCCGTCTCGCCCAATGGAATCCCCCCGTAGCCGTTCAGGTCGATACTCGTGATGGTGTCCTTGAGGCTCTCGAGCAGACGGATGAGGGCGGGTGTGGGGGCATGATTGAAATGTCCTTGCACTTCGAGAAACGACCTGAATTAAGACACAGCACCGATACACAGATGGAGACGGGCACACATTACAAGTCATCCCTTTTGCGTACCGGGCAGTTCGTTAGCGATGTCATTGGGCGGTGAGATGTTGAGTTCGATGATGGGGTGCATGTTGCTGTCCTGGGTGAGGGTGTGGAAGTGGGTGCTCACAGCTGACAGCGACGTCAGACATGGCACGAAACCAACGAAGGCACCAAGTCCTGACACACACCAACACACACAACACATGCATCCTCCCCGTCCCCTGGACTCGTCGTCCAATCTCTTCCCGTACCGAATTTCTCGTCGCTGCTCATCCAGAGGGTTTCAGGCAGCCCCTCGAGGCACGGCTCAACCACCTGCACAGACAAAGCCACACATGTATGTGGCCGCGCCTTGTGCCCTCCCATGTACAATGTATTCACCTCCTCGTCGTGTAGTTTGTCGATTTTGTCTTGTATGATTTGGAGTTTGGCGACGCACCGGTCCAGCTGCCGCTTGACGGTCGTGTCAGTGTGGGTTGCGTGGGCCTCAGCATCAGCCGTCGCCATCGCCGTCAACACGCGGTAGTGGCAGTCAACGTCCTACATCATCAGCCAGCCACACACACATACACAACAAAGCGCAGGCGTGAGCAGGCGGAATGTGTTGTGTCAGGTGTGTGTCTGGCTGTCATCCTCACCCGTATGCGATTCTGCTCTGTGTGCGATTCGGGTGCGGCGAGGCCCATCTTCAACTCATACAACTCCTTAGCCTGAACGCAGGCAGGACGACACACACAACACCCCACACATTCCTCTCCGGTGATCCTCACCCTGCCCCTCTCCCTCTCGCTCACCTTTGCTTTGGCGTGTTCGACGCGCTGGATCTGCGTCTGTAGCTTCTGCGCCACGGCCTTGAGAGCCTCCAGCGGGTCGGCAGGAAACAACTCGACCACATCCTGACGGGCAAACACACGAAACACAGACAGCAGCGAGCCATGGACGAGCAATGCTCAAGCCATGCCGGTCCCTGGTGTGCCCTCCCATCGCGTGATGCGAGCGTACCTCCATCTGATGGTCCTCGTCTGCCGCTTGAGCCTTAGATCTGCCACCCTTCTTCTTGGGTTTGGCCTTGCCGGCAGCCGCCTTGTCCTTCTCATCCACCCGCTGCTTCTTCTTGGCGACCTTGGTGGTGCGGCGGCCCCTGTCCTCCGACTCTGACCCATCCTCCTCCTCATCACCGTCGCTGCTCACGCCAACATCCATCGACGGCTTGCGCTTCTGAGCCACACCTGCCGCAGCCTCAACAGCAGCAATGGCGGCCTGGCGTTTCGTCATGCGATGCTCAACACCTTCTGACGCCATCGCCGCGAAGGAGCGAGAAGAACAACGCGGACTAATTGGCGACAACCTGGCCAACCAAAAGTAAACGGAACGATCATCCGCCGTTCCCCCATTTTCTCTCCTCGTTGCACGATGGACGTCAAGGACCGTCCGGCTCGTCCCATGCGCAAGGCTGCCATGGCCGCCTCATCCGCCGCCGCTGCTGGTGGTGGTGGTGGTGGTGATCGCAAGCGCTACTTGTTCTCCGACAGCAGCAGCATGGATTCAGACGACTGTTCCGACAGCTGGGAGGACTATGGTCATGCCCGACGTCCGGCAAAGGCGGCGGTCAAGAAGGAGGGCAAGAACAAGGGGAGGAAGGACGTCAAGAAGGCCAGGACCAAGCCACTGACGCCTGACGACGTCGAGATGGAGGTGCGCACAGCACGATATCGACACAGATCCAGACACATCGAGCGGATGGGCGAAGCAATGGGCGATTCTCTCTGTATGGCGTGTATCGTGTGCGTGTTGTGTCAGGATGTTGGTGAGGTGCGCCATGAGGAAGCGTTGGCGGTTCTGGCCGAGGTGGCGGAGCGTCTCCAGGCACAGATCAACATGGTCAACGACGCAAAGGCTAAGGTGAGTCAATGAGGGAGCAGAGAGGCGAGGCGACGAGGGCGAGGGTTGAATATCTGCCAATGTGTGATGCTTCGTGCGTGTTGTGTTTGTTGCGCACAGGCGCAGCAGATGTTGGATGCGAAGGCTGCCCTCCCCGCCCCCGACACATTCGCCAAACAGAAACACATGCAGGTTGGCCGCCACACACAACACAGGTACCTTTGTTCCATAGACATCCCGCCTCTTTGCCGCCTCTCCTTCTGCTGTTCAGGAGGTTGACCGCCACTGCCGTGTGCTGACGGCCATGGTGAGGTGCGAGGCGGACATCCAGATATCCACCGTGGACAAGACGGCCAAGCAGCAGGTGGAAGCATGTGTCAAGAAGCTCGACGTCATCCTAAACACCATGGACAAACTCAACCAAGATGAGGTGGGCACCACACACACGCGCAAACACACAAAGAGCTCCGTCGAGGGTCTGTTCATCATTTCTTTGTGCGCTCTGTGGTGTATGTGTTTGTCAGGTGAGGTCTGGCTTGGAGGAGCTGCCTGAGGCGCTGTGGATGACGACCGAGGAGGGCTTTGGGCTGGGTGCGTACCTCGGCTACCACACCTTCATGACATCCCTCTCCACCATCAACACACACTTCAGCCACCTCAGCCGCCAGCCCGCTGTGCACCCCATCGTCGACATCTACGCAAAGCCCACTAAACGCACCGCAGCCAAACTGCCCGGTGAGAGATGGAACTGAACACACATCCCTCTCTCGCTCATGTCCATTCTCAAATGCGTGTTTCGCGTGTGCAGGTCGTGTGTCTCAGTGTCGCTCCCTGCATGTGCATTACCCTCCCACCCCTCGGCTCGTCACTTTGCTTGAGCAGCTGGCGGCCACCATCGAGACCGTCGAGCTCCAAGGCACACGTGACCCGCAGCAGGGGAGAGGGCAGATCAACGCAGAGGTGCCAAGCAAGGAGAGCCCCACTGCGTTCCCCAAGCTGACCAAGGCTACGGTCGGCTCGATGTGGGAGAGCATCGCACGCACACGCAAGTACGAGCTGCCCGTCCTCGAGGAGCTGAGCATAGTCAGCGTCCATGGGCTCGCCGCGGCGTGGGTCCGCAATGCGTCGTCGGGCATATCGTCTCTGCACTTCATACCCAACAAGGTGAGATGGCACGGAGAGAGGGAGGAAAGGGGGAGTCGAGGGCCGTAAAGATAGTGCTTTGTGGCTTCTGTGTCGTGCAGGCTGACGAGATGGTTATCGTGGGGGACGACGACGGCACCTACGCAAGGTACCAGCACGTCATTGAAGTGGCGAGTGCGATTAAAGACACACCATCCGGTGAGAGGAGAATCAAACAAGAGAGCAGCAGATATATAGGTAGACACTTCTTCTGCCATGCATTCTTTTCTCTCTCAAAGTTGGTACGTTGTCGAGCCTGACGGGTCAAGTGGAGTTCTCGTACCCCGTTTGGGGTTTCGAAGCAGGCAACGACGATCCCGAGCAACTCATCGACGTCATCGGCACGGACAACGGCGGAGGGCCGCTTCGTCACGTCGAGATGGGACTCAATACGATCGGAGGCACCAAAATCATCCGAGTGAGCGGCAGTCACACCCGCCCATTCATGGCTTGGCAGTCCATCCCGTCGCCTGCATGTGTTCTTTCTCTCGTCTGTGAGTAGGCGCTGCATCATTTCCGTACCACCTGCCTCTCACCCGGCGCCACTGAGAGCTACCACACCTACTCATGGCATCGGCGCAGGGACGGCCTTTCCCTCTGCCTTCCGCTCACCAGCGAGGCCAACGACCCGCCCGTTGCCCCAGCGCTGCCAACACTGCACCTGTGCTTCGCCCAGGCCGACAAAGTCGAACTCAAATCGCATGCAGATGCTGATGTGCCCGACATCGGCCCACTCGCTCTTCCACGTGTGAATGAGCTCGACATCTGCTGGGGCGGGAGCCAGTGGGGCGGGCTCCAGGGGTATGGGGTGCTGCCTTCATACATCATGTCTGATCCTCCCACGATGTTCCCCAATCTCAAGTCTGTCTCCATCATTCAGTGTTCCCACGGGGCGGGGTTCTTTGAGGGAGGGGCGGGGCAGGTCTTGGGTGCACTCCCATCCATCGACCGTGTCACGTTTGAGCTGTCTACTCTCGCCAATCCCAATGCTACGCTGTGTCTCGCGCCTGCCGGTGTGGCCCATCTCTGTGCTCAAGGCAGGCGAGATGTCACTGTGTGCGTCAAGAGTGAGATCGATTTCCCATGGCCCAACTACACTACACCACACGCAGATATGATGCCCTTCCGAATCACACTGTGCAGTGGCGTGTGTACGGTGGGGAGGGCGAGGCTGGCAGGCAGGTCATGTCAAGTCGCGTGTCTCGCCTTGAGATGCACCTGTCACTCGAGAGACACCCCCGGGTCAGATACCTCACTGATGAGGCAGAGAAGGGTCTGTTCCGGTCGTTTGCCGAGTGTGTTGTGTCGGTTTTTGAGAGTTTCCCTCGCCTCAAGTGTGTGGTGCTGTCGCCCTACAAGCCACGCCCCAAGGGGCTGATCACTCTGCTCAGAGAGTCAAGCCAGAAGAGGTTGACCGTGTCGGGCGGGGAGGGCAAGACCATCGAGATGAGGCCAAACAGAAAGAAGGCGGCCAGCAAGGACACAAAGAGAGGCGACAAAGACGAGGCCACCAAGGCTGCTGCGTAAATGTGCGGGTGTGTGTGTTAGCCGGTATCGCATTCACTATCATGGCGCGGCTCTTTTCTTGCCGGTGTGTCTCGCATACATGTCTCTGTGTGTGTGCATGGTGCATTGATGGCCGAGAGAGAGAGGGGCTGCCAGTCCGCTTCGTGTGAGTGCTGTTATCGTCACTGAAGGGCAGGCAATTGCGAGTGTCGACCGACTCATTCTGTGCCCCTCTTACCGCCCGATCGAGAATCTACTTGCATGCTGCATCTGTGAAGAAGGACAATTTTGATCAGTTGAATGGCCCGTGCATGCTGATTCGGTCCAGCTCACATGCCCACTAACAGTCATCATTATGATTGATACTCTATGGTGAATTTATGGTGAATTGGAAGCTAGGCCACAAGTGCCGACACGCACGACAACGACAAAGACTACCTACCGACCCACGCAGGCCCACCTCATTAATTCTCACGAAAGCAGACCGGGCTGGCTGACTGGCTGACTCGTCTCACTGCTGCTGCACGGAGGAGCAGAGGAAACACGGTCTGGCTATCTATGGCTAGGTTGAGCTCATCTTCATGCCGATGTTGAGGGCCGACAAACGCGACTTGACGCTGTTCAGGAACTCCTGATTGGTGAACACACACACACACACACCAGAAAAGTCGGTACAAATTCATATGAATGTCTGGCTATCCCTCCCACCCGCCATCCACCGACTGACCTGTTGGTTGTCGATTTCGAATTCGAAAGACGTGTCGTTCTTGAGCACTATCGTCACGCGATCGGGCGCATCCTCCTGCATGAGTAGAGGGAGGAACACACACAAAGACGCACGCACATCCACATTGGATAGTATGCCGGTGTGTGTCAATCAATGGTTGGGTCCTTCCTGTCCTCACCTGGAAGAAGATGCGTTTGAGGAACTGCAGGCGGTGGTTGGCTCGGACGATGGCGCGGCACTCATCCATCGACACACCCGTGTACCCCTCCCTGCCGTCACGCCGCACACGCCGGTACCCGTCTAGCCCTTCAAACGGCCAGTTGAGCCGCACACGACCCTCACACACATACACCACCACCTCATTGCTGTGGTCGAATCGGTCGCCATCGGCTGCAGATGGGGAGGCGCTCGCCTGCTCGTGCTGTGAGGGCCTGGCCGCCCCCTTGTCGGCCGCAGACTCAGCAGCCGCCGGTGTGAGGATGGTCTTGTGCGCGAGCGACTGCATCTTGTGTCCGACGGTAGCGAGCCATCCCGGCCCGCTGCCCTTGCTGGACGAGCTGAGAGTGGATGGCGATGGGGGTGCGGGTGCGCCTGGAGGCTGTTTGGATGGAGAGGGAGGTGGCGAGGGGGTAGATCCCGTCTGCTGGGAAGAGGCCGGGGAGGGGGCCAGGGGTGCTGCTGGTGCTGGCTGTGGCTGTGGCTGTGGTGGTGGCTGTGTGGTTGGTGCGTGTGCGGTGCTGTCGAACATGACGTCCTCCTCTTCCTCCTCTTGCTCTTCCTTGTCACCCCCTTCTCCTTCTTGGTGCTGCGGTGCTGCTGGTGCTGGGCGATGCTGCTGATCTTTGGGTGTGGTTGTGGTGGGGAACGCCTCTGAGATCTCCATGCCGTCGGTTTCCTTGTCTGTTGTGTCAGTGTCCTTGTGTGGCGTCTCGATGGGCAGCAGGTACGTGGGGATGACCTCCAGCACCATCAGCTGGTTCAGTGACAAGATCAACAAGCGACGAACCAACACCTGCATGGCCACAACACAAGCATGGCACACACAACCATTTGGGCGAGGTATGCCGTCCGCACGTACCTCTTTGTCCTTTGCGTGAGTGTCTTGTGTGAAGTGTATGGGCAGTTTGCTGATGAGGCCGCCCAGGAAGCGGCCGCTCTTGCTCGGCGAGGGGGCCGGCGACGGATGGTCGAAGGCCGCTGGGGTGGGCGGACACGCACAGATCTGACGGGCGTCGAATATCTGAATCAAAGGCAGGCAGGACAGGTGAACGTGGGTCGTCCGACGGGTGGTGTGGTGTGGCGTTAGAAGGATAGTACGTGTGTGTCTCCGATTTGTTCCTGCAGCCTGATGACGTCCAGCTCCTCGCCCTCCTTCAACCCCTGGATCTCCTGCATAAACACACAACATATCGGCGTGTGTGTGTCACCTCCTTGTCTGTCCCTTCCTCCCCTGGCTTGGTTGCTTGCCTTGATGTGGTCCTGGTAGAGTTTCATCATCTCCATTAAGTTGTAGGGCTTATGCGGACTGTCGCCTGATGACATACATACGCATGGAAGCGCCGGTCAAGATGGATGCATACAACCATGCCACCCCATCTCACCCACCTGCATCGTTCGTGTCGTCCAGAGCGCCGCCTACCGCCGCATCGGTCGCAACTGCACACGCACAGCAAAGGGATGCATGCGAGAGCTAGCTTCCTTTTGACCCTTCCCCGTCAGCAACCCACTCACCGTGTGTGCCGCCCTGTCGGGTGTCGATCTGGTCCTCTTCTGTCTTGCTGCGGCCTGAGTGGCTGCGCCTCGTCCGGCGGGAACCGGCGCCCTCGTCGCTGTCACTCCCGCCACCTGACACATACGCAGCCATACTTGAATCAAGGTATGCGAATGTTGATGTCCGTGTGTCACCTTACCGATCTCGAATATGGAGTCGCTCTCTTGACCCGCCTCCGCCGCCCTCTGCTCCCTCTCAGCAGCGGACCTGGCGGCCTTGCCCTTCTTCCTCCGAGGGCCACCCTTGCCACGGGCAAATATTGGGCCCTTGCTCATGTCGTCACCACCTGCCTCGGTGTCGTGGGTTGTAGCGGCCTCCTCCTTGAGTGCTGCGGGCTCAGCAGCAGGAGGTTCCTTCTCTCTCTTCTTGTCGGCTGCTGCTGCTTGTGGGTGTCGGTGTGTCTCCCCGCCTTCGTTGTTGCTGCCCTTGCCCTTCTGGGTGGCGAAGTCGGCACCGAACCGAGTGTTGGGGAACAGAGATGCCAACATACCTGCACGCACACATAGCATAGAGACATCGATGCAGTGTGGGGGTGGAAAGGCGGCCTCTTTGTGTGTTGCTGACCTGTGGCTGTGGTCTCGGGTGTGTGTGGGGCGGGCTTGGGAGTCTCAGTGGTGTCTGCTGCCACTGGAGGCTCCCCCTTGGTGCCCCCTGCGAGTGTCTGTATCTGCCTGACGTCCTGCCATATCTCGTTAAGTGCCGGCAAGGCAGTCTGCCGGATGCGCCCACCAGTCTCAAGCATGCGATCCTGACACACACAGAGAGAGAGACACACATGGGTGAGAGAGGGAGGGAGGGAGCCCGCCCATCCACCGATCCACTAAGTAACCTTGACATTGAAGGAAATGTCCTTGGTCTGCTGTGCCAGGTGTGTGATGCGGGTGCGCCAACCCCCGCCGGCCCCTGTGTGGTTCTTGCCCTCGGCTCCCTCCCTGTCCTTGTCCGCCCGTGGGCTGTCGGTGCTGTCGTGTGTGGTGGACCGGATGACCAGCTGGTTGTAGAGCTGACGCGAGGGGTTCATCTCCTCCAGGCTGTCACAGATGGCCGACCAGCCACCCAGGATCGCACTGATGCGGGGGAAGCCACGCTGCAGCAGCTGCACACACACACATGGATGGATGGATGGATGGATGGATCAGCCACAACAGACAGCCATATGTGTGTGTGTTGTTGGCCCACCCGCTAGTTACCAGTGCGAGTGTGGCGATGAGTGCGGGTGTGTCGTGGTGTCTGCCGAAGAGGCACAGCGGTTTGCCCCGCACCTGCTCGCACTTGAGCAGAAAGGCATCGATGTACCCCTGGTGACGCTCCAAGATCGAATCAGCATCTACACACACACACACACACCATTAGTGGTGGCCATTGCAGGCCTGATTTCCGCCCACCCACCAGCGCAGATGGCGCCTTTGAGTCTGGTGCCTGATCTCGGCTGTCCACCGGGTGGCCTCCGCGACGAGTCGGCACCAATCTCCACCTCGTCCAATGTGCGGCTGTACACACCCACACAGACACACGTCGATCAAGGTGACAGAAAGGTAGGCGGTTGGCCACCTCTGCATACCAGTCGACCACGACTAGCTCCCAATTCGACAGCTCCCTGCAGGCAGGCAGGCAGGCAGGCAGGTCGGCACACATGGTATGTATGTAGCAATATGGATGGATGGGTGCATTGCAACCAACACGCCCATCCATCCATCCATCCATCGCCACCTACCTACCTACCGTTTCTTGCTCTCGAGTGGGTCCTCCTTGGCGCGTTTGTCCTCCTCGCCGTCATGCCGCAGCACTATACCCAAATGCATCCACGAGTGACGCCGACCGCCGCCTGCACGACGCACCAACGCACTCGTGTCCTCCTCCGCTGCTGCTGCTGCTGCTGGTGCATCCTCTCCAGTCTGCTGCTGATCGGGTGGCTGCTGCTTCTGAGTGTGCGTGTCGTCAGAGTAGAAGAACTCATCCAGTGGATGGGCCACGTTGGATGGCGACGCGTCTTCGCCCTCGCCCTCCTGCTGCTGCTCTTGCTCTTGCTCGGCCTGCTGCTGTTGCTGTTGCTGCTCGGAGGGTGCCGATCCTGCTGCTGCTGTAGGTGTCGTTTCTGCAGGAGGTGTGGTTGATGCGTCGGCTGACTCGATGGACGCCTGCTGGTGCTGCTGCCGCTTGAGGGCCTTCTGAAGCTTGGCGCGACGCTTCAGCAATGACACGAACTCAGTCGCGCTGAATCCATCAAGGGAAGGGACAGCGACATACAGCTGTTTTTGTGTTGCCTGCCTGCCTGTCGCACCTCATGCAAACGCAGAAGACCCTTGTGTCCAGGTCTTTTGCAGCCTCAGAGTTGGACGGCATCGTGCTGCCTACATCCTGCACACAAATGATATGGGTGGGGTGGATGAATGGACGATGGCACGTGTGCATGTGTTGTGTTGGGTGACTTACGGGTGCGTAGTAGAGCGGCGCGAACCCCACGGCCATTTCGCTGAGCTGCTCGGAGAAGGTGGAGGGGGTCCGCTCGCCCAACATCACAGCTGACACACGCACAGAGAGGCACACACACATACAGGAAGCACCTATCGCGTTGCGTTGCGACGTCTGCATCCCTCCCTAGCCACCGACTGACTGACCTTCTTTCCACCACTTGTGGATGTCGGCCGGCAGCTCTATCCCGTTCAGATACTGAAACAACGGACGGACCGACAGCAGACACCAGGGATGTGCCAATCCATCGCCACCCCGACCATTTATTTGTCTCATCTCACCTTGATAGTGTCTTCCCGCAGCACTTGCTCGGCTATCTCGCGACCCAACCTACACACACACGCAGCGGAGAGGCACACACACACTCCTCACCTTGCTGAGCACTGTGTGTGATGTGAGTGAGTGTACTTGATGAGGAGCGCACAGGTGAGGAGCGAGAGCGCGCTGGCCTCATCGGCCACCACCAACAGCTGCACATACGACAAGACAGACTCTCCCTCGAATAAATGCCACCACTTCTCTGTGTCGGTGGGGGTGGGGGTGTCTGACCTGCCACAGCTGCAGCACATGGAAAGCTGTCGCGCCATTGGCCAGCGCATACCCACCTGACACACACACCACCGACAGAACCCACAAGCAGATATGGTACATACATAGATCCCCATCTGTCCGGCCCCCCTCTCCCTCTCCCTCTCCCCCTCTGGTCCTTCCGTACCAGCGATGTAGTTGATGGCGTAGTCAGTGGGCCAGACGTTGAGGTGGCCGAGGTGTCTGGCCAGCCACGGGTTGTGGTAGGTCAGCAGGCTGTGGAACAGGTGGTCGATCTGCACCACCTGACCACTCAACTCAGCGTCCATCTCGGGAGGGGGCGGAGGGGGAGGGGGAGGGGGAGGGGGAGGGGGTGCGCTGCTGGATGGG